AAAACGGGCGAGGCCAGGACGATCCCGGAATAAGGTGCCGTCTCCGACATATTACGAAAAATCTCAGACGATATCCCCACGACCCTTGACCAAATCGAAGAACACGTTGGGGAGGAAGGGCCCGTCAATGTTTCTGCATACAGGGATTCAGCGCCCATACAAAAACACGTAAGTAAGCTATAAATTCGGAAGTGACGTCAAATGTAATTTCATCATTCGATTTCGATTTCACAGCTGAGCACCTTGTGGAGGAGGGTCACGATCGGCCTGGCTTTGACGGCGCTATGGACCTCGAAACACCGGTCCCGTGTCGTGACCAATTGTACCGTCGAGGAGTTTCAAAACAGAAGGCAGGAAGGGTCGAAGACAATCATCACGGTGTCAAAACACAAGACGGGAGACAAAGAGCCGGCAATGAGGGTCTTCGACCAAGATGACAGAGCTGCACAACTGGAGAGGTCAATATTTACCAAAATCTGTTACTCGATAAGCTCATCAACTAACCGTTTAATTGTTTTTAAAGATACTATAAACTACGTACAAGAGTGAAAACCTCGGCTAGAGAAGTCTTTATTACCAACCGGGGAAAAAAAGTAGTAAAGTTGTATGAAGATACAAATCGAATATACAAATGTCAACTTCTGGCGAACATATTCCGCCGAATGATCGAGACACAGTCAAGGGGCCATGACAAGGATACCATGAGTGGCATCGCAACGGCGTTGCAGCACTCACAGGACACTGCGTTGCGCTATTACCAGTTTCCCGATACCGGCGAGGCACTCCGGCGCCAAAGAACAATTGACACCGTTGACGCGGCCGCGTTGTTCGAAAGTTTGGTCGTGGACGAGTAACTAACCCAAAAGTTTTTACTAAAGACACTCAGAATACTCACAAATAATTGTTTTGTTTCAGATTTCCGGAAGGATTTGTACCCTCGCCATACGTGGATGTGAGCAACGGCGATAGGGTCAGGAAAAATTTAAAACATAAATGCTTTCAAGAGCAACCCGGCGGCAATCTTATCGGACCAAATGATAATGAAGTTCCAACAATGGTTCACAAAGAATATAATGGATGAGCGGGTGGTCGTGGCCGCCGGGTTGTTAAAGGCAAGCATATCGAAGGGGTCATCGATCAATAAATCAGATGTTTTGAAAGCTTTAAAAGCTCAAGGACAAGCTTTATGACAACAAACTCGAAGGAGTTTTTACTTAAATTCGAAAAGAAGTTCGGAGAAGTGGAGTAGGGAGTAAGCCGTAGCCGGCACGTGTGGATTAGGCCTACTGGGGAACCACGTTAAAAAAAACGCTCCATTTGCTTTACCTCGTTAAGGTGGTGTGGAAATAAGCAACAAACACATGATTACGGACAATAAATGTGCAAGTAAATTAGCAATTTTTATATTTTTTTAAATGTATATTCAACTATCGCGTATAATTGGGGTATCAACCACGTAAGAAAATCTTTTACGAAATTTAAAGTTCCAATTATATAATCCGATTGTTGTGGTCGACGATAGTCCAACCCAGAAAACGGAATTGAAAAAAAAATGATTTAAAATGTTTCAATCCTGACATTCTCCTGAAATGTCCCCGTGAGTCGGTCATCGATCCTGTGGCTCCGTCGGAAATGCATCGTGTAAAATATCACAAGATTAAGAGCGATAAGAATTTAGAGAATAAACACGTGGTTGCGTTCAATCTGGGAAATGACAGTCTGAGGGGGACATTGGAGGGAAAATGATTACGAGAATCAACTGGTGGTAGCGTTCAATCCCGGGATTGACCGACTCCCGGGGCACGCCGTCCGGGAACCTCGGATCGTTGGGTTCAATCTCGGGAATGACCGACTGACGGTGACAATATCTTTGGGAAATTGGGAATTGAACGATACACGGTGAAATTCAAAACGTACGGGTGGTCGGCCGACCGACGCCCCGGTACTCGTGTTCGACGACAGATCTTCTTCGAACTTTTTCCAACCGAGATATCTCGCTTAATATTGGTCCTAGCCGTAAGCAACCTCAGATTCTAAAGTTTCAAAGCTGTCGGTCGAAAGCTAGCAAAGTTCACTTTCGAAAAATATCGATTATCTCACGGGGACACGGTTCGGGATTTTCGGGATTGAACCGTTCATACGTATTAACTACCGTCGCCGCCTTTGGGGTTGACTTCTGGCGGTATCCGTCGTCAAGTTTTCCCGAAACGACGACGCGCGACTGCCCGGTGACTCTCGCTTTACCGCGGGTCGTCTCCCCGGAGGAAACCGTACCGCTACGCACAATTTTTTTTACGCGGTCGCCGCCGACGTTTACCGGCAACTCTCCCTTGACGGCGGGTCGTCTCCCCGGATTAAACCGTACCGCCATTAAACCGTGATATTATTTTCGGCCGACCAGAGGAACGCCGCCCAGGCAGACCGTCCGGAACGGTCTAATTAAGGGGAAGTTCTGGCTTCTCAGTCGATATAGGTCGCTTGACCACGGCGTCTTCTTGCTTGACTTCTAATCGTATCCTGCGTTCCGATAACCCGAAGATACGACGTTTTGTGAAATTTAAATATATTTAAAATATTTTCATTAATAATTTATTTCAAAATATTTTTTTTTCGCCTACATGGTAGATACAGCCTAGAGGGTGAACGAGCATAGCATTCTGGCGTTTTCCTCCATAACCAATCCACGTTTATTCATACTCAACTGTATAAATAATTTGAGATAAGAATACTGATAAGAGATAACACGGTAGGATCAAATGAAATGTGATAGAGATAAGTACAATTAAAAAAATTAAAACACTTAATGGTAAAGCGTAAGCGCCAAGTGCGAGACATTCATCACTGTCCATATATTACATAATTTCCTTTGCAATGATGTGGCAAATAATTAGACAGCAAATTTTTTTTACACGGCCGCAACAACTGATTACCCCTGCAAGTCTCGCTTGGACGTTGGGAATGTCCCCGTAGTCGACCATACCACTACGTACAGACTTATCTCATCCATGGTTGAGAGCAATTTTCGAAAATTTTGCTACCCGAACCGCCGTCGTCGCTCAGAGCTCTAGTAGCACAGCCCATGCATTTCATTTTAAATTATATTTTCCAAACGTTGGTAGTTCAGGTAATTTCATCCCGTCCACCAGCAACGTTCTCGAGCAATATCCGAACATTTTGCTACCCGAATCGCCGCCGTCGTTCGCAGCGCTAGTGTCGCGGTATATACGAGTACACTGTCCCTATCAGTTGACAAACATAATATTTCGGTACACGGAAACTCTCAAATATTTCCTTCAGAGACCTCACAACGGGGACAATGTCAACCCCGAAGACGGCGTGGAGAAAAAATAAATACCCCGCTTCAATCCTCGAATTCCCAAATTTTGTCCCCGTGAGTCAGTCATCGAGTTTTTAATTTTCCCTGTATTCATGACTTCATGACGCGGACAAATTCAACATCAATAGCCCCACCGAGATGGTTTCGATCGAAATTCGAAAATTTTGCGGCCCGACCCACCTTCGGCAGTCGAAGCGCTAGTAGAGCAGCCCGTCCATTTCGTAGTTGAAGTTTTTCGTCCTGACAAAATTGTGTGCTTTAAAAAAAAATTTGTATTTGTGCTCTCGAGCAATGTTCGAAATGTTGCTACCCGAACCACCGCGCCGTCGTCACGGCGCTAGTGTCGCAGCGCTAGTGGCGCGGCCTCTGTATATAAATATGGGTGCGCTGCGGTGCTGCGGCGTCATTTGCCATTTAGCCGTGTGCAATTCATGTTAATTTTATCAGTTCAGTTTTATTTTTTTGTCGTTCGTTGTGACTTTACATCTTCGTTTTCTTGCGTGAGTATTTTATCCGTGCTGACTGAAGGACTCCAACGAGTACGTCGTTCGCAGGTAGTGGATATCTCATTATATTGTCAACAATTTTATTTTCAAATTTTTTTCTGACGTCGTAGTAAGACCCTAGTCCAAGATTGTAGATTAAGAGAAGATCGTGAGGTGTTTGATTCACCACCTCGCCGAATGAATTCACAACCAGAACTTACTCGAACACCTGTGTTGTATGATGCACCACCAGATACACCCACTAACCGCCAGACTAATGCACCATCAGACACACCCACACACCGCCAGATTGGTCCTTCGAACTCAACACCAGATGCGAACGACACATTGGACACAATTGAAGAGGACCATTGAAAGAAAGAGTGAATTTCTTTTTTCTTGAATTAAATATTATAATTAAATAAATTATTTAATTTATAATGTTTTTTCCTATGCCGGAATCGCAAATGCTACATTCCAAGCTGGTGAAACTGCCTGCTGATCACCCGTTCTTACGTTTGTGCCACTCTTCGCTTTCCACTCCGCTCTGCCATCAATGCTAGGCGATCATACAACCATATAACAGAGAGAGAAAGAACATAAAGTAGTGAAGGAGCACCACACTTTCATTCTTTTCTTGCTCACACTATATCCTACCCCTGACCTCTCTATATAAGTGCTGTCAATTACTTTATAGGTACATGGTTTCAAATATTGAATTAAATGTGGAAATACAAATTTTGTTTACGTTAAAAGTTAGAAATTAATTTCATTAGGTACTAAAACAAAACAAATTTACTGATTTAAAATTTGTATTCATAGTTTTGAATTGTCATACATAACAGTTTTTTTCCAGATATGTGATGCAAAGTTCAGAATTTTAAACGTTAATGCACTTTTTCCTGGGTCTACAAATAATTCATTTATATGGAACAGTTGTGATGTACTTCCTGTAATAGAGCAACTTTATACAAATGGTCAACAAGGATTTTTTCTTTTGGCTACCTATATAATTGAAACTGATTTAATTACCTAACAGATCTTACCACGTATGATTAGAAATTATAATAAAAGTTAATATCTGAGAAAATATTGGTAACCAATCGAGGTTTGATGATGAAAGCATTAAGAAAATGAAAATTATGTTTGAAAACCCATGAACAATTTTGTAATAAAATATGCATTTTTCAGGTTATTCTGGATATGCATTACGCCCTTGGTTATTAACACCTTTTAATAATCCAGTTGCTGATGTTGGGCAGTACTATAATAAAATGCAAATGTCAACTCGAAGTATCATAGAAAGATGCAACGGGGTTCTTAAAATGAGATATAGGTAGGATTGAAAGTTAATATTAGTTTTTATCTACCGGTATAATATTAATTATGTTATTTTTCAAATACTTTTAGATGTCTTCTTAAACATAGATTTCTTCATTATCACCCAGAAAAATGCACTAAAATTATAAATGCTTGCACAGTATTACATAATATATGTATAACAAACAATGTACCATTGCCAGTAGAAGAAGAGCCAATAGACATTGATATGGGTATAATTCAACAACAAGGTGGTCCAATTATTGATCAGCGTTTTGCAGGCAATGATTTGGTCCAAGGTAGACAAGTACGTTCAATAGTTGCAAATTATTTACAAAGAAACAGATTGCATTTATAAGGAAATTATTAATTTATTATTTTAAAAAGCAAAAACTTGATGTTATTTACCTATACTTTACTATTAGTTATTACTTATTACTCATTAGAGATCTACTTATATTATTATTGAATGTCAATAAGAATTATATTTATATTTATTATTTTTTTAATGTATTATTAATATTATTAGTTTATTTATTATTATTTTAATTTTAATTTCTAATGTCTATTAAGTATTATACTATTATGTATATAAAAATTAAATAAAAAAGAAAACATGTTATTAGATTAAATAAAAAATGAAAAACTAGTAAATAAAATTGTTATTTAAAATTTTAAGAAAAAATGAATTACTTTTAAGTATTAAAATAAAATAAGATAGAATTAAATGATTTAGAAAAATAATAGGTTAGTTAAATTATGTTTGTTAATGCAACTGCAATGCGATTAAAAATGTCATTTCTTTGTCTCAATATTTCATTTTGTTCTCTCAATAACTCTAACTTTTTTTCATTATAACTGGCTTTTAAAGCAAGTTTTTTTTTTCAAAGAGAAACAAGATTTGCTGCAGCACTGTTACCATCATCTTATCTTCGAGGCGTAGTTGATTTTTTTGTCTTTCTTTTATTTGTAGCTTTAATTTCTAAATGCAAAAACAGATAAATTAAAATAAGTTTAATAATAATGATACTTTTTTGTTATTGTACTAGGTCAGGTTAATTTTAGTTTAGTTTTACATGATAATAGTCAATACAGAATCTGATGTAGATACATCTATACAATTGTGTAACATTTAAGTATCAGTACAACAACAAAAAAGTAACATAATAATTTTTAAATGGAAAAAATTATTGAATATATACTATCATTTGATTCTTCAATGGATGAAACAGGATTTAAGTCAGGATTCTTTGGAGAATTTGGAATGATTGGAGAGGATGTACCAAAGGAAGGACTTTTTAAAAAACTGTCATCGACAGGCCAGTTATCATCTGGTTGTACAACTATTATGTTGTCATTGTTTACAATGTCAACACCCTGCTGTTCACCAAATGAAAAATTGACTTTGGATGTCTTAGCTGTTGTATGGCCTGAAATGCTGGTTGGATTAATAAGTTCCAATACATCATTTTCTACAACAGTCAGTGTAGAACATGGTGTATTATGGCCAGTTTTTCTTTGTGCTGCTCTAATCATTGCCTGTTTGGTCTTAGCTTTGGTTCGATTATCTTGAAAAGTCTAAAATATTTACAATCATGTAAGTAAAAATAATAACTAATACTACCTACACGGCTACACTACTCTTAACCAAAAAAACTCACTTTACGCCATTTATTCCAATTTTTAACGGCTCCGGGTATTACATTTAGAGACTCAGCAATTTCCTCCCAGCGTTTTTGAGCGGTTTTAAACGTAAAACTACTGCTAATTTTTCCACTTAGCAACTGTGGATCAAGCTTCAAAAACCCGTTCAAAGCTATCATCTGATCCACAGTTGCCCGACCTTTAATGTCGTTTGCCATTATATTACAACTTAGTAGGTAGTAGGTACTCGAAGTAATAAAACAGATCAAATATTGGCTCAAAAAATGGCTCAATTTAAAACAGCTGACTGACACGATGAAGAAGAACTTAGTACCTATTTAAATGTTTAACAATGAACAAAAAAACTAGGTAGGTACCTAATTAATTTATTTAGGTATTTTTTTATCGATTTTTATTGATTATTATGTATTATGCAATTATTATTATCGCTCGTATTATTGTTATCAGTCGATATCTACGTGATAGTAACTAGTAAGTATACCACAAGCGGTTCATACGACTCGTTCGTTACCACTCTACAAAAAGTAGTATACTACAATTTAATTAGCGAGTGGTGTTCAAGAATAGGTATAAGCAGATGACACAAAGCGTATACGACTTAGCCATGCGACTGTAGTCGTATTCTATTTATTTTCGCTTACATGTCGAATGTGTTCGAGAATCGACCCCCTGGTCGGATATCAACGACTAATGGTCGAGGATTGTCAACAAATGGTCGACAATTTTCGACCCCTTCAAACTTCTTTTTTTTCTTTTTGAAATACCTCTCAGAAGAATTATTTAGCGGGTGGTTTGAATCAAACCCTCGCCAAACCCGTTGTCGTGAGGTCTCTAACATTATCCGTCCCTATTATTTTAAGCAATTGAGAAGGTTTAATCCAAGACTAGTCGTATATATTCGACTGGCCGTCGTGAAATTCCGACTCGACTTATTACGCGAAAAGGCTGCTGTCCGTGGTCACCGACGGCCAAACCCAATCAGCTGAAAAGGGCTTGATATTCCATACCCTATTTTTTCGTACGCCAAAGGTTTGAATGTACCATACCACTACGCACACATTTTTATTTTCATCACACCGTTGTCACCTATGGACGATTGAATTTCACAGAAGTCGACCCAACCGCTACGCAGAAATTCGCGTATCGTAAAATTTCCATTTAAGACGACTGTGCCACTACGCACCAAAAACTTGTGCGTAGCGGTTTGGCCCGCTACGAGGAGAATCGAACCGTCCGAGGGGGACTTGCCGGGTAACTCCAGCGTGGCGGCCGCGTATCGTAAAATTTCAATATCCGGTGTCAAATTCTTTATTTTTAAATTATATATTTTTTCAAATGGTCGGAGTTCAGGGAATATCCTCCCGTCGGGTGCCAGTGCTTTCATGGTATATTCGTGTACAAATAAATCGGGCGTAGTGGTATGGACTAATACTGAGAAAATCAAAACCATTTTTGAGCGGATCGGTACGGCGACTGATGATTGAAAACAAAATGCAATCGCCGTGAGTAGTTGCAAAATGTAGTATTGTATAGCAGCATAAGTAGCACCCAGCGTGAATTGACGTGTTTTTTGATTTAGGATTTGATTCAATGGCGCCAAAGAAATTTAGCATTCCAGTTACCATCCGTGAGTATTGTATTATAATTTTTTGTGTGAACTCAAGTTTATAGCTTTTAATAATTTAATGTCCAACATAGATGTATCAAGGATCTCAAAGGGGCTGAGAGATGCAGGGGTTGTTCCACCAACAAAATTGCCCAAGTACCACAAACCTGGTACTAGTAGTAAGTATATATTTTGGACATTAATTGTCTTGTATTACAATGTGTGTTTCTTCTCAGAACACTTGAGGTTTGATGATGATGGTTTTGCCACATTGGGTACCACCCATTACTCCGGTAAAAAATGGTAAGAAGTTCGTGATATTATAAAGATATGTTGTTAGTTTAATGTAAGTGTCATTTATTCATTTCTAGATCCGTACGTTTTCGATGACGATGACGATACATTATTTTTTCTTTCAACTAATTTAGTGGTATCCATGATGTTTGATCGCATCGAAGTAAAGGATGATAACAATGGTAAGTAATCATATCTTAATTTTAACTTTTGTACATTATTTTTTTAATTTCAGCATTGCAAGTCACGGGTTGTCACTTCGGTATGTTTTGATCATTTTAAAAAGCGTATAGTTTATAGTTTATAATTTTTGTATTTCAGAACCTAGGAGAGGTGGTAATATTTTTGATTCGACAAGCGAGGAAGGTGATGAGAGTACTCCTCTAGCAATTTTTTTTCATTTTGATTTACTCATTTCGTTTTTATTTTGACTTTATAGATGGACACCGATGAATGCAAACAGTCCGATTTCGTAGTTGTGAGTATTGCTCAAGTCTTTTTTTAATTTTGATTTACTTATTTCGTTTTTATTTTGACTTTTTAGATGGACACTGATGATTGCAAACAATCCGATTTTGTAGTTGTGAGTATTGCTCAAGTCTTTTTTTTCATTTTGATTTACTCATTTTGTTTTTATATTTACCCATCAGCCGACCGCTGACGATTATCCAATAGAGTCCGATGATGATGTGAGTATAAAAAAATTCAACTGTTCCCTTTTTATAAATATTAAATTTATCTTCGTATCATGTTGTCCAGATGTTCGCTGATGAGCAACCGGCGACAACCGACGACCATCGACGGTTGTCGGTCCAGCAGTGCCTGGATCTAGGCATCGGTGGCCAGAAGGTAAACAATGCAAAAAATTATTTTTAGATTGAAGTTCGTTGCGTATAAATTTTCAATAAATATTTTTCAGCCATTCCGACACTGCCCGTTGTGAGACTTTCTCACATATGATCAACTCCCGCGGCACATCGCAAATGTGCACCGTGGGTTGGTTATACACCCTGTGAGGGACAACGTTCAAAAAATCAGTAAAATTATAAGTGCCAAGGCGAAAAAGGGTATAAAACTTGTGCGCCTCAACAGGATTATTGATACCGTCGGAAGGAAAATATGGTTGGACCAGTCCTTCAGAAAGTCCATTTGGAAGTGAGTTTTAAAATATGGTTTCCATGTTTTTATTAATCTGCAAATGTTTCCTACTTACAGGCTCTTCAACATCCTCCAGGTTGAAATTTGGGATGGGGACTGGGAGCTGCCCAATGTTCCAATCGTGAGAAACCTGGAAGGAATCGTTCAAAATTGTAGGATCAGAGAAGACCGTGAGGTGTTTGATACACCACCTATCCGAATGCATTCACCACCAGCTACACCCACTAACCGCCAGACGTACGCACCACCAGATACACCCACAAATAGACATACCAATGCACCGCCAGAAACACCCACACACCGCCAGATTGTTCCTTTGACACCCTTGACACCAGATGCGAACGAAACCATTGAAGAGGACCATGGAAAGAAAGAGTGAATTTCATTTTTCTAGAATTAAATTATTTTTCATCGTATAAATTATTTAATTTATAATGTTTTTTCCTAGGCCGGAATCGCAAATGCTGCATTGCAAGCTGGTGACGGACGGGTTGCAGCAGAAACTGCCTGCTGATCACCCGTTCCTAAAGTTGTGCCACTCATCGATGTTACAAACACACCCAATGCAGCCAAATGCCGTGAAAAATTATTTGGCAATCCTGAGCCTGGTGTTCAGGTACGTTAGTGACCAGCTAACGATGAACGTTAAACAGAAATTTCACTGGTTGGAATTGTTACAGCACCCAAAGCTGATAATAGACTCCCTGAAACGGTAAGCATAAATACTGAATGTTATGCGAAGGATAAATATTACAATCGAAAATTCGTTTCCACAGTCGCGAGAATGCAGGACAAACGTACAGTACAACGATTGCCTACCTGAAGGTAATCAAACCAATGCTCACCAAAGCCGTGAGTTTATTCCCATACCAGGACCCAACATTCCCTATGGTCGACGGGGTGCCCGACCGTAGGGAATGTGACAGAGTGCTGTATACTCTTAATGTATTGAAGGACACCTTTAAAGGACGGGGTAAGTTGTCGACGCAGGAAACGTTTTCCAACAAAGTACTGGCGGCCGACACCTTACCCTCGTTCAGCCTGATAGAAGATCTGGTTACAAAAATGAAGACAGAGATGAATGATCATTTTGTGGAGCTAGAAATGCTATTCAACACAACGGCAAACTAGACGTCGCACCGAGTTGTTAGTGGGCGAAAACCAATTTGGAAGTTAGTCGTTCATTGATATTATAAAAAAATACTAAATATAACTGATGAATTAATTTGTAAATTAATCTATTTGTTTTCAGGTCGCAAAACTATGGCGGCAGGTGACGATGGCGCTCGCAGGCACATTGGTTATACTAAATAAGATCCGGGTGGGTGTGGTGAGGCACCTCACCATTTTTGAGTTTGAGGCGGCCACTCGTGGAGAGGATACTGTTATATGGGTCGCAAAACACAAATTAGGCGACAAGACGCCGGCCAACATTGTGTTAAACGACGAGATGATGGCCTATATGGACCGGTGAGTGAAAACAGACGAATAGAATTATTTAATCAAAGAATATTAACATTCCCATACTCTTTAGTTATTATTTATTGTCGCGCAACTTTTTCGTCACGAACACTGGGCAGGCGCTAACGAAGTTTTTTGACCTGCTCAACCAAGAATGCAAACAACGTAACATAATGGTACCCGGTAAGGATGGCGGTATGGGTGATATCCTTAAGGTATCCGGCACCCTTATTAGAAAACAAATCGAAACGGCCGGCATCACGCACTCTCCTGCCACCAAAAAACTTCTGGCCAGCTGCTTGCAGCACAGCGAGGCCACGGTTGAACGGTGCTACCACGTCCCGTCGGCACACGCTGCAATCGAGCAAAACACCGTTCGATGACAACGATCGAACAATCTTCCAAGTTGAGAGAGTTTATAATATCCAAGTAAGTATTTACAAACATTAACAATATATTATGATATTTGTAAATCGTTTTTTTCTTAGCATCGAACATTACATGGACGTCACCGATCCGTATTCAGAGTTGCCATCGTTCGAGGAGTTTTGGAAGCAGATTCAAAGCCTCGACACGGTACAGCTGCAATTCCCAAAAAGCTCCCCATTGGGGATTATAAGCAAATCGTGGAGAGAGCGGAGAGTTTGATTTCAAAATGAAGAGCGCTCGAATTGGCGA